GGGGGGGGGGGGGCTCAGAGGGGTTGGGATCCCCTGGGCTTGGGGTTCTTCATTTCTTTGACTGGCTGTGATGTCGAGACTGGCAGGATCTGAGGTGGGCTGTTCTGCTGGCTTCTCTGCGGGGTTGCCAGCTCTCTAATGGGTTGTTCTCTGTCACCTGTCATCGTTCTCACCTTCTCCTCCAGCACTCTGATCCTCTCCTCTAGTGCTCTGTTCTTCTCCTGCTCTTTCTCCTGTTGATGTTGTCTCACCACAGTCCAGAGTGCAGACATGTCTCTCTCTACCTGCAGCTCTCCAGGTCTAGTTAAGGGGGTGTTGTTGTGCTGGACTGTTGTCTGGGTCTGTGCTGACTGGAGTGTGTTCACCTGCTATTCCAGCTCCACCTGCCTTACCTCCAGCTGGGTGAATTTATCCTTCATTTCAATGAGGGAGTAGTACTCTGTGCTGGGAAGTTGACTTTCCGCTTGGGGTTGCTCAGTGGGGTTATTTAATGAAGAGGTCTGGTCTGACCCGCTCGGGGTAGGGGTATCTTTCTCAAGTGAGATCTTCTCCTGCTGAGCTATTTCTTTGCTTAGGTGAAAGTCCAGCTGAAACTGTTTGGGGATGCCCTGTACCAAAACTGTTCCAGATTTATAGGGATTCATATAAGCATATATCAGAGTCCTCGTTGTCTAGTATCCTGAGTTTCCACCCATCGCTAACACCCCCCCTCTTAACAGAGGGGTAGTGTGCTAGTATAGCACTGTGCCATGCCAGGGTATGGTCTGTGTGGAAGATAAGGTTGCTTATGTTCCCATTTTTATAAAAGTCAGCAAAAAGTGTCTCCTGATTTCCCATAAGGAGCTTCATTTTGTACTCTTTTCGTGTCTTATCATTCTTTACATTCAGAGGGTTCTGTATTTTAATGACCTCTGAACAGCGGGAGGGTGCTTCTAAGGACTCTCCATTTGGTTGGGGTAGACTGTGCGACTCTCCTGCCATTGTTGGGCTCAAGGGCTTTGACACCTCTCACTTCACACGTCAGTGCTAATTGAAATTGTATCTCTTTGTACTAGCAAGCTTGGTAGCCTTAGCATTCAGTCCTTATAAAGTAAAATATATCATTGTAATGTATTTTTCTTCTTGTTTTTTTAAAGTAAAAAATAGCTTCATACTAAACATTACTCACTCAGTTCCAGGTTGGATGGTGTTTTCAGGTTTCTGTTTGTTTGCCAGAGCATTTGCTGTATAGTTTGGGAATAGTCATCCTTGGTAGTAGAAAGCCTTCCAGGTAATTCCAGGTAATTCTGTCCAAAATCTGGTTGTAGGTTTGGAGTTTTGGTTTGGAATGAAGGTTATGTTGTAGAGGGTAGCATCCTGTATACAGTGGGGGGAAAAAGTATTTAGTCAGCCACCAATTGTGCAAGTTCTCCCACTTAAAAAGATGAGAGAGGCCTGTAATTTTCATCATAGGTACACGTCAACTATGACAGACAAATTGAGGAAAAAAAATCCAGAAAATCACATTGTAGGATTTTTTATGAATTTATTTGCAAATTATGGTGGAAAATAAGTATTTGGTCACCTACAAACAAGCAAGATTTCTGGCTCTCACAGACCTGTAACTTCTTCTTTAAGAGGCTCCTCTGTCCTCCACTCGTTACCTGTATTAATGGCACCTGTTTGAACTTGTTATCAGTATAAAAGACACCTGTCCACAACCTCAAACAGTCACACTCCAAACTCCACTATGGCCAAGACCAAAGAGCTGTCAAAGGACACCAGAAACAAAATTGTAGACCTGCACCAGGCTGGGAAGACTGAATCTGCAATAGGTAAGCAGCTTGGTTTGAAGAAATCAACTGTGGGAGCAATTATTAGGAAATGGAAGACATATAAGACCACTGATAATCTCCCTCGATCTGGGGCTCCACGCAAGACCTCACCCCGTGGGGTCAAAATGATCACAAGAACGGTGAGCAAAAATCCCAGAACCACACAGGGGGACCTAGTGAATGACCTGCAGAGAGCTGGGACCAAAGTTACAAAGCCTACCATCAGTAACACACTACGCCGCCAGGGACTCAAATCCTGCAGTGCCAGACGTGTCCCCCTGCTTAAGCCAGTACATGTCCAGGCCCGTCTGAAGTTTGCTAGAGTGCATTTGGATGATCCAGAAGAGGATTGGGAGAATGTCATATGGTCAGATGAAACCAAAATGGAACTTTTTGGTCAAAACTCAACTCGTCGTGTTTGGAGGACAAAGAATGCTGAGTTGCATCCAAAGATCACCATACCTACTGTGAAGCATGGGGGTGGAAACATCATGATTTGGGGCTGTTTTTCTGCAAAGGGACCAGGACAACTGATCCGTGTAAAGGAAAGAATTAATGGGGCCATGTATCGTGAGATTTTGAGTGAAAACCTCCTTTCATCAGCAAGGGCATTGAAGATGAAATGTGGTTGGGTCTTTCAGCATGACAGTGATCCCAAACACACCGCCCGGGCAACGAAGGAGTGGCTTCGTAAGAAGCATTTCAAGGTCCTGGATTGGCCTAGCCAGTCTCCAGATCTCAACCCCATAGAAAATCTTTGGAGGGAGTTGAAAGTCCGTGTTGCCCAGCGACAGCTCCAAAACATCACTGCTCTAGAGGAGATCTGCATGGAGGAATGGGCCAAAATACCAGCAACAGTGTGTGAAAACCTTGTGAAGACTTACATAAAACGTTTGACCTGTGTCATTGCCAACAAAGGGTATATAGCAAAGTATTGAGAAACTTTTGTTATTGACCAAATACTTATTTTCCACCATAAATTGCAAATAAATTCATTAAAAATCCTACAATGTGATTTTCTGGATTTTTTTTCCTCATTTTGTCTGTCATAGTTGACGTGTACCTATGATGAAAATTACAGGCCTCTCTCATCTTTTTAAGTGGGAGAACTTGCACAATTGGTGGCTGACTAAATACTTTTTTTCCCCACTGTATGTCCCTGCCAAAAAAAATACAAGTTTATCTAACTCTAAATCTATATGTTTTGTAAAAACATGCTGAAAAATGTGGTCTCTCTCTCTCTCTCTCTCTCTCTCTCCCCTTCTCTCTCTCTCTCCCTCTCTCTCTCAATTCAATTCAATTTCAATTTCAATTTAAGGGCTTTATTGGCATCGGAAACGTATGTTAACGTTGCCAAAGCAAGTGAAGTAGATAGTAAACAAAAGTGAAATAAACAATAAATACTAACAGTAAACATTACACTCAGAAGTTTCAAAAGAAGAAAGACATTTCAAATGTCATATTATGTCTATATACAGTGTTGTAACAATGTGCAAATAGTTAAAGTACAAAAGGGAAAATAAATAAACATAAATATGGGTTGTATTTACAATGGTGTTTGTTCTTCACTGGTTGCCCTTTTCTTGTGGCAACAGGTCACAAATCTTGCAGCTGTGATGGCACACTGTGGTTTTTCACCCAGTAGATAAGGGAGTTTATCAAAATTGGGTTTGTTTTCGAATTATTTGTGGATCGCTGTAATCTGAGGGAAATATGTGTCTCTAATATGGTCATACATTTGGCAGGAGGTTAGGAAGTGCAGCTCAGTTTCCACCTCATTTTGTGGGCAGTGTGCACATAGCCTGGTTCTCTTGAGAGCCAGGTCTGCCTACGGCGGCCCTTTCTCAATAGCAAGGCTATGCTCACTGAGTCTGTACATAGTCAAAGCTTTCCTTAAGTTTGGGTCAGTCACAGTGGTCAGGTATTCTGCCACTGTGTACTCTCTGTTTAGGGGCCAAATAGCATTCTAGTTTGCTCTGTTTTTTTTTTTGTTCTTTCCAATGTGTCAAGTAATTCTCTTTTTGTTTCTCATGATTGGTTGGGGTCTTGTTGTGTGTGTTGTCCTGTGGCTCTGTGGGGTCTGTTTGTGTTTGTGAACAGAGCCCCAGGACAAGCTTACTTAGGGGACTCTTCTCCAAGTTCATCTCTCTGTAGGTGATGTTTTGTTATGGAAGGTTTGGGAATCGCTTCCTTTTAAGTGGTTATAGAATTAACGGCTCTTTTCTGGATTTTGATCATTAGCGGGTATTGGCCTAATTTGCTTGCATGCATTATTTGGTGTTTTACGTTGTACACGGAGGATGTTTTTGCAGAATTCTGCATGCAGAGTCTCAATTTGGTGTTTGTCCCATTTTGTGAATTCTTGGTTGGTGAGCGGACCCCAGACCTCAGAACCATAAAGGGCAATGGGTTCTATAACTGATTCAAGTATTTTTAGCCAGATCCTAATTGGTATGTCAAATTTTATGTTCCTTTTGATGGCATAGAAGGCCCTTCTTGCCTTGTCTCTCAGATCGTTCACAGCTTTGTGGAAGTTACCTGTGGCGCTGATGTTTAGGCCGAGGTATGTATAGTTTTTTGTGTGCTCTAGGGCAACGGTGTCTAGATGGAATTTGTATTTGTGGTCCTGGCAACTGGACCTTTTTTGGAACACCATTATTTTTGTCTTACTGAGATTTACTGTCAGGGCCCAGGTCTGACAGAATCTGTGCAGAAGAACTAGGTGCTGCTGTAGGCTCTCCTTGGTTGGTGACAGAAGCACCAGATCATCAGCAAACAGAAGACATTTGACTTCAGATTCTAGTAGGGTGAGGCCGGGTGCTGCAGACTGTTCTAGTGCCCTCGCCAATTCGTTGATATATATGTTGAAGAGGGTGGGGGCTTAAACTGCATCCCTGTCTCACCCCCACTGGCCCTGTTGGAAAGAAATGTGTGTGTTTTTTGCCAATTTAACTCGTACATCGCGTCTCGAGCAACAGCTCTCGCTCTTCCCAAATCGAGCTCTCGCGGCGCTAGATAGCTAGTCCAATCTCTCTCGAGCGCCAAATATGCTCGCTATATCTCTCGCGCGTCTCGTCTCTCTCTCGCTCCTATCTCTCTACTCCTCTCGCGCTCTTTCGCGTCGCTGCGCGCGATCGCGCTCGCTCTCTCTCTATCCTCTCTCTCTCTCTCCCATCTCGCTCTCTCTCAGGGTGGTAGAGATGCCGTATGCGTACCAGTGCTGTGTCTACGGGTCATGTGATAGCTATAAGTCCATCAGCCAATGGGAGACTGAGCAGAGCAATGAGGAGGAGGAGCTAGACCAGAGGACCGTTACCCTATACCCCATCCACACAGACACACACTGTAAGAACACACACACACAGCACACGCACACAGTCAGGGCAGGGTAACAGGGTAACGGGGTCACAGGGTAACAGGGTCACAGGGTAACGGGGTAACAGGGTCACAGGGTAACAGGGTCACAGGGTAACAGGGTCACAGGGTCACAGGGTCACAGGGTAACGGGGTCACAGGGTCACAGGGTAACGGGGTCACAGGGTCACAGGGTCACAGGGTAACAGCTGCTGTTTCTAATGTGTCAGAGCCCTACTTAACCACAGATACCTGGCACGGCAACAAGACTCCAGTATCTTATCCATAGACTCCAGTATCTTATCCATAGACTCCAGTATCTTATCTATAGACTCCAGTATCTTATCTATAGACTCCAGTATCTTATCCATAGACTCCAGTATCTTATCCGTAGACTCCAGTATCTTATCCATAGACTCCAGTATCTTATCCGTAGACTCCAGTATCTTATCCATAGACTCCAGTATCTTATCCATAGACTCCAGTATCTTATCTATAGACTCCAGTATCTTATCTATAGACTCCAGTATCTTATCTATAGACTCCAGTATTTTATCCATAGACTCCAGTATCTTATCCATAGACTCCAGTATCTTATCTATAGACTCCAGTATCTTATCTATAGACTCCAGTATCTTATCCATAGACTCCAGTATCTTATCCATAGACTCCAGTATCTTATCTATAGACTCCAGTATCTTATCTATAGACTCCAGTATCTTATCCATAGACTCCAGTATCTTATCCATAGACTCCAGTATCTTATCCGTAGACTCCAGTATCTTATCCGTAGACTCCAGTATCTTATCCATAGACTCCAGTATCTTATCCATAGACTCCAGTATCTTATCTATAGACTCCAGTATCTTATCCATAGACTCCAGTATCTTATCCGTAGACTCCAGTATCTTATCCATAGACTCCAGTATCTTATCCATAGACTCCAGTGTTTTCCCAGCTTTCCTCCTGTGAGAAACCTTCTCTCTAATAACAATTCAACAGGTAGATAGATAGACCATAAAACCTTCATGTCAAATGAAACATTAGCCAATAGAATGTAACCAATGGCCCTGTTCAACAGACACAGAGGCTTTATCAAAAGACAACAAGACTACAGACCATGATCAGGGGGAAATTAGTTATAAAACACTTTAGTCTGATTTATCAAAATACCTTCCGGAATCATATCAAATACCTTTTTTTGCTGTTCACATCAGTTCCCCTGCTGACTAGACAGACTGAACGGAGCTCCACAAACACACACCTCAGTGTCTGTCTGACTTGTCTGTTCTGTTGTTGTTGTTGTTGTTGTTGATTCAGATGACCCGGACCCGGAGAACCTCCAGCTGGAGATACAGGAATCTAAAGGACAGACCAATGTCCAGTGCACTCCTGTACCAGGTACACACCCCACTTATACAGGCTTCTCCTCTACCAGGTACACACCCCACTTATACAGGCTTCTCCTGTACCAGGTACACACCCCACTACCAGGTACACACCCCACTACCAAGTACACACCCCACTACCAGGTACACACCCCACTACCAGGTACACACCCCACTACCAGGTACACACCCCACTACCAAGTACACACCCCACTACCAGGTACACACCCCACTACCAGGTACACACCCCACTTATACAGGCTTCTCCTGTACCAGGTACACACCCCACTACCAGGTACACACCCCACTACCAGGTACACACCCCACTTATACAGGCTTCTCCTGTACCAGGTACACACCCCACTACCAGGTACACACCCCACTACCAGGTACACACCCCACTACCAGGTACACACCCCACTACCAGGTACACACCCCACTTATACAGGCTTCTGTTTACCTCAACATTCACATGGACATTAGCCTTGCTTTTACAATGACTTGGATGGATGTGGATCAAGTGTTGAATGTGTGTATTGTTAAATACAGTGCATTCGGAAAGTATTCAGACCACCTTGACTTTTTCCACATTTTGTTACGTTACAGCCTTATTCTGAATTGGCTTAAATCATTTTTTTCCCCCTCATCATACTACACACAAGTAAGTATTCAGACCCTTTGCTATGAGACTCGAAATTAAGCTCAGGTGCATCCTGTTTCCATTGATCATCCTTGAGATATTTCTACAACTTGATTGGAGTCCACCTGTGGTAAATTCAATTGATTGGACATGATTTGGAAAGGCACACACCTGTCAATATAAGGTCCCACAGTTGACATTGCATGTCAGAGCAAAAACCAAGTCATGAGGTCAAGACAGGATTGTGTCGAGCACAGATATGGGGCAGTGTACCAAAACATGTCTGCAGCATAGAAGGTCCCCAAGAACACATTGGCCTCCATCATTCTTAAATGGAAGAAGTTTGGAACCAGCAAGACTCTTCCTAGAGCTGGCCGCCCGGCCAAACTGAGCAATTTGGGGAGAAGGGCCTTGGTCAGGGAGGTGATCAAGAACCTGATGGTCACTCTGACAGAGCTCCAGAGTTCCTCTATGGAGATGGGAGAACCTTCCAGAAGAACAACCATCTCTGCAGCACTCCACCAAATCAGGCCTTTATGGTAGAATGGCCAGACGGAAGCCACTCCTCAGTAAAAGGCACATGACAGCCCACTTGGAGTTTGCCAAAAGGCACCGAAAGGACTCTCAGACCATGAGAAACAAGATTCTCTGGTCTGATGAAACCAAGATTGAACTCTTTGGCCTGAATGCCAAGCGTGACGTCTGGAGGAAACCTGGCACCATCCCTACGGTGAAGCATGGTGGTGGCAGCATCATGCTGTGGGGATGTTTTTCAGCGGCAGGATGTTTTTCAGCTGGCCGCGACCGGGAGACCCATGGGGCGGCGCACAATTGGCCCAGCGTCGTCCAGGGTAGGGGAGGGAATGGCCGGCAGGGATGTAGCTCAGTTGGTAGAGCATGGCGTTTGCAACCCCAGGGTTGTGGGTTCGATTGCCACGGGGGGTATGAATAAAAAAAATAAAAAATAAAAATGTATGCACTCACTAACTGTAAGTCGCTCTGGATAAGAGCATCTGCTAAATGACTAAAATGTAAATGTGAAATGAGACTAGTCAGGATCGAGGGAAAGATGAACAGAGCAAAGTACAGAGCGTATCCTTGATGGAAATCTGTTCCAGAGCGCTCAAGACCTCAGACTGGGGCGAAGGTTCACCTTCCAACAGGACAACAGCCCTAAGCACACAGCCAAGACAACGCCGGAGTGGCTTCGGGACAAGTCTCTGAATGTCCTTGAGTGGCTCAGCCAGAGCCCGGACTTGAACCCGATCGAACATCTCTGGAGAGACCTGAAAATAGCTGTGCAGCGATGCTCCCCATCCAACCTGACAGAGCTTGAGAGGATTTGCAGAGAAGAATGGGAGAAACTCCCCAAATACAGGTGTTTATTTATTTTTATTTTATTTCACCTTTATTTAACCAGGTAAGCCAGTTGAGAACAAGTTCTCATTTACAACTGCGACCTGGCCAAGATAAAGCAAAGCAGTGTGATAAAAACAACAACACAGAGTTACATATGGGGTAAAACAAAACAAAGTCAAAAATACAACAGAAAAAATATATATATACAGTGTGTGCAAATGTAGCAAGTTATGGAGGTAAGGCAATAAATAGGCTATAGTGCAAAATAATTACAATTAGTATTAACACTGGAATGATTGATGTGCAAGAGATGATGTGCAAATAGAGATACCGGGGTACAAAAGAGCAAAATAAATAACAATATAGGGATGAGGTAGTTGGGCGGGCTAATTTCAGATGGGCTGTGTACAGGTGCAGTGATCGGTAAGGTGCTCTGACAACTGATGCTTAAAGTTAGTGAGGGAGGTAAGAGTCTCTAGCTTCAGAGATTTTTGCAATTTGTTCCAGTCATTGGCAGCAGAGAACTGGAAGGAATGGCGGCCAAAGGAGGTGTGCCAAGCTTGTAGCGTCATACCCAAGAAGACTTGAGGTTGTAATCGCTGCCAAAAGGTGCTTCAACAAAGTACTGAGTAAAGGGTCTGAATACTTATGTAAATGTGATGTTTCCAGATTTTTTTTAATACATTTGCTAAAATGTCTAAAAAGCTGTTTTTGCTTTGTCATTATGGGGTATTGTGTGTAGATTATTGAGGGAAAAACAATTTAATCCATTGTAGAATAAGGCTGTAACGTAACAAAATGTGTAAAAAGTCAAGGGGTCTGAATACTTTCCGAATGCACTGTATTGTTAAAGTAAGTCTCTCTCACCTTCTCTCGTCCGCCCAGGTCCATTCCGGCCATGTGACTCCCTGCTAGGCAGCTGGTTGGTCCGTGTGGGTCTATGGTGCATCTCCATCGTGTCTCTATTGGGGAACTCTCTCTTGCTGCTGTCGCTCTTCGGTTCGGCGGGCTATCTCTCACCGCTTCGGTTCACCACCGCCTGCATGGGCGCTGCCAACCTCCTCACCGGCGTATGCACATGCACGCTCGCCCTCGTGGACGCCCTCACGCTGGGAGAGTTTGGTCGTCACGGCGCCCGCTGGGAGTCGGGTCCCGGTTGCCAGGCGACGGGGTGGGTGTGGGTGTTTGCGTCCGAGGCGAGTGTTCTGCTGTTGACCCTGGCGGCCGTGCAGTGTAGCGTGAGCGTGACGTGCACACGGGCCTACGGGAAGGCGCCCTCACACGGGAGCGCCCGTACGTGCGCGCTCTTCTGCCTCACCCTCTCTCTCACCCTGGCGTCCCTCCCTCTGGTCAATGTGGGGGAGTACGGTTCCTCCCCTCTCTGCCTGCCCTCCCCCCTGCATCCCCCCTCCCCCCACCCTCCCTCCCATCTAGGCTTCCCCCTCTCTCTGATCATGATGAATACTCTGTGTCTGCTGATAGTGACAGCCTCATACATCCGTATGTACTGGGAGCTGCTGAGAGGAGAGTGTGAGGGGCTGTGGGACTGCAGCATGATTAAACACATCATCTGGTTGATCTTCATCAACAGTCTCCTCTACATCCCAGTAGCCTTCCTGTCTCTCTGCTCCCTGCTGGGGCTGCTTTCTCTGGGGGAGGAGGTGCTGAAGTCTGTCTTGCTCCTCCTCCAACCCCTCCCCTCCTGCCTCAACCCCCTCCTCTTCCTCCTCTTCACCCGAGACCACACCCACTTCTTGTTCTGGCCACATCCCAAGGCACGCCCCCAGTTACACCGGGACCGCACGCTTGAAGACTCGCTGGTCTCCGTGGACACGGAGAAGAGCTTGTGTTCTGATTCATCGACGCAGGTGTCACTCACCGAGGCCAACGGTGGAAGCCCCACCCTCCAACCCCGGCTGGATCCAATCAGATTCTCCCACTGCTCTTCCTCCTCCCCTGTTCCTCTGATCCCCTGCCAGACACCTTCCCCCAGCCTGAGAGAAAGAGAGATGGAGAGTGAAAGAGAGAGGGAAAGAGATATAGAGGGAGAGGGAAAGAGAGATGGAGAGAGCGAGGCAGAGTGGAATCACTAAACTACAATGGGACACAATCTGGCTGTCTGGGACCCTAAGAGACATTATAAACCAACACATTCCCTAGTCCCCCTAGTCCTCTTCTCCCCTCCCTCCTTCTCTCTCCTTCCCTCCCTCCATCCCTCACTCATAGGGAGACCATTACAGAAGAACAGCAGCAGGGGGCATTTGAAAGAGCATCAGTCCTGGAGAAAGCATCTTCATTAATGTCAGCATCGCTCCACACAGAGACAGCATACACCACTATTGAAGAGCGTACTACTAGAGTCTGACTACACCAAGTACCATTAAAAGTCTGTGACTATATCACTAAGGGATACATTCAATCCAACCTGCATTAAAGTTTTTTCACAGTAGCTCTTTTTCCAATGGTCAAATTAACTCTCAGCCTGGTCTTGGGTCCTGTATAAAAACCTACAACTACTACCAGGGAAACCCCCCTCACAGGTATGGTTTCACTTTTCAGAATGTTGACTAAACATTGCTATGGCAGATTTGAATGAATCCCAGCCTAAGTGCCGTTAATAGTCTATAAGTACACACTACCATGTGCCCTACTGCCCTCACCAGTCACCAAGGGTAGCATTCAGAGGGGTCTGAAATGTGAACACTTTCCAATGCTCTGTACAGCCATATTCCAACTAATAGGCCGGGATTCATTCAAATGAAATTTCCCAGATGTTCGTGAGATGGCATTCACTGTCAACTCTGTTGATTTGATTGAATTCCAGCTCCATTACCAGCAGATGTGTGGCTGAATGAATGATATGTAGCCTGCCTAGGGTCCCTCCATAGACTGTAGATCCAATTTAGGTAGGTGGACTTTCCAATCCTTTCAGATGAGTTGTAGTGTACAGGGGGTAGGGGACGGGTCATTTGGGATTGGGATTATCTAAAGAGGTTTTGGTGTACAGTAGGCTAGCTAGCTGGGGTCTGTTCAGAACGCTGCAGATAGAAATGTAAAGAATAGAGCTGTCCTGTCTGTTCTGTTCTACACCATAGATTTCTACATATGTGTTTCGTAACGTTCCACTCTGCTGAACAGAGACGTGGTGATGATGTGACTACCATGTAATTGTTCCTATAGAAGGGTTGCCTGACATCATGAAAATGATGCGTGCGTCGATGGGGCAGAAGGTCGTGGGCTGTTATATGATTCAAGTTTCAACTTTTATTTGCCACGTACATTACAACAGATGTAAAACAGTGAAATGATTTCCTTGAGAGCTCTTTTCCCAACAATGCAGTGATTAAAATAATAATATAGAATAGAAAATCTAATAAATAAATGTATAACTACGATGCGAGTTAAAAAACACGAGAACGCAAGTATATACAGGTCAGTGGCAGTACCTTATTCAATGTGCAGGGGTACTGGAGTGGTTGGATATACAGGTCAGTGTCAGTACCTTATTCAATGTGCAGGGGTACTGGAGTGGTTGGATATACAGGTCAGTGTCAGTACCTTATTCAATGTGCAGGGGGTACTGGAATGGTTGGATATACAGGTCAGTGTCAGTACCTTATTCAATGTGCAGGGTACTGGAGTGGTTGGATATACAGGTCAGTGTCAGTACCTTATTCAATGTGCAGGGGGTACTGGAGTGGTTGGATATACAGGTCAGTGTCAGTACCTATTCAATATGCAGGGGGGTACTGGAGTGGTTGGATATACAGGTCAGTGTCAGTACCTTATTCAATGTTCAGGGGTACTGGAGTGGTTGGATATACAGGTCAGTGTCAGTACCTTATTCAATATGCAGGGGGTACTGGAGTGGTTGGATATACAGGTCAGTGTCAGTACCTTATTCAATGTGCAGGGGTACTGGAGTGGTTGGATATACAGGTCAGTGTCAGTACCTTATTCAATGTGCAGGGGTACTGGAGTGGTTGGATATACAGGTCAGTACCTTATTCAATGTGCAGGGGTACTGGAGTGGTTGGATATACAGGTCAGTACCTTATTCAATGTGCAGGGGTACTGGAGTGGTTGGATATACAGGTCAGTACCTTATTCAATGGCAGGGGTACTGGAGTGGTTGGATATACAGGTCAGTACCTTATTCAATGTGCAGGGGTACTGGAGTGGTTGGATATACAGGTCAGTGTCAGTACCTTATTCAATGTGCAGGGGTACTGGAGTGGTTGGATATACAGGTCAGTACCTTATTCAATGTGCAGGGGGACTGGAGTGGTTGGATATACAGGTCAGTACCTTATTCAATGTGCAGGGGTACTGGAGTGGTTGGATATACAGGTCAGTACCTTATTCAATGTGCAGGGGTACTGGAGTGGTTGGATATACAGGTCAGTGTCAGTACCTTATTCAATGTGCAGGGGTACTGGAGTGGTTGGATATACAGGTCAGTACCAGTACCTTATTCAATGTGCAGGGGTACTGGAGTGGTTGAGGTGGGTTTATATATAAAAAGTGACTGGTAGCAGGATTAATAATAATAATAATAATAATAATATAGCAGTGTAAACAGGGCTGAAGTGACTGGTAACAGGAATATATAAATACTATGGTAATATACTAATGGTAATATATACAATACCAGTCAAAAGTTTGGACACACCTACTCATTCCAGGGTTTTTCTTTATTTTTACTATTTTCTACATTGTAGAATAATAGTGAAGACATAAAAAATATGAAATAACACATATGGAATCATGTAGTAACCAAAAAAGTGTTAAACAAATCAAAATATATTTTATATTTGAGATTCTTCAAAGTAGCCACCCTTTGCCTTGATGACAGCTTTGCACACTCTTGGCATTCTCTTAACCAGCTTCATGAGGTAGTCACCTGGAATGCATTTCAATTAACAGCTGTGCCTTCTTAAAAGTTAATTTGTGGAATTTCTTTCCTTCTTAATGCGTTTGAGCCAATCAGTTGTGTTGTGACAAGGTAGGGTTGGTATACAGAAGATAGCCCTATTTGGTAAAAGACCAAGTCCATATTATGGCAAGAACAGCTCAAATTAGCAAAGAGAACGACAGTCCATCATTACTTTAAGACATGAAGGTCAGTCAATACGGAAAATATGTTTCTTCAAGTGCAGTCGCAAAAACCATCAAGCGCTATGATGAAATTGGCTCTCATGAGGACCGCCACATGAAAGGAAGACCCAGAGTTACTTCTGCTGCAGAGGATAACTTCATTAGAATGAACTGTACCTCATATTGCAGCCAAAATAAATGCTTCATTAGAGTTAAAGTAACAGACACATTTCAATATCAACTGTTCAGAGGGGCGTGAATCAGTCCTTCATGGTCGAATTTGAGATTTTTGGTTCCAACTGCCGTGTCTTTGTGAGACGCAGAGTAGGAGAACGGATGATCTCCGCATGTGTGGTTCCCACCGTGAAGCATGGAGGTGTGATGGTGCTTTGCTGGTGACACTGTCTGTGATTTATTTAGAATTCAAGGCACACTTAACCAGCATGGCTACCACAGCATTCTGCAGCGATACGCCATCCCATCTGGTTTGGGCTTAGTGGGACTATGATTTGTTTTTCAACAGGACAATGACCCAAAACACACCTCCAGGCTGTGTAAGGGCTATTTTACCAAGAAGGAGAGTGATGGAGTGCTGCATCAGATGACCTGGCCTCCACAATCCCCCGACCTCAACCCAATTGAGATGGTTTGGGATGAGTCGGACGGCAGAGTGAAGGAAAAGCAGCCAACAAGTGCTCAGTATATGTGGGAACTAATTCAAGACTGTTGGAAAAGCATTCCAGGTGAAGCTGGTTGAGAGAATGCCAAGAGTGTGCAAAGCTGTCATCAAGGCAAAGGGTGGCTAATTTGAAGAATCTCAAATAAAATAATGTTTAACACTTTTCTGGTTACTACATGATTCCATATGTGTTATTTCATAGTTTTGATCTCTTCACTATTATTCTATTCTACAATGTAGCTCAGTTGGTAGAGCATGGCGCTTGCAATGGCAGGGTTGTGGGTTCGATTCCCACGGGGGGCCAGTATGAAAACGTATGCACTCACTAACTAAATAACAAATAAATGCACCCTGGAATACCGTCCAGCCCTGCGAGTGTTGACCAGATTAAAAACCTCAGAGAGCGAGATCACCCAGTCCTCTGGGACGGCGGGGGCCCTCGTGTACGACTCTGTGAGGTTTTTGTCAAAGCGTTTACAAAATGCATTTAGTTCGTTTGGTAGAGAGGCATCTAGGTCAGATAGCTAGCAGCAACAATGACAAGAAGCTCCCATTTGGGGAATCGCAGGTGGCTCATTTTATCTTGTTCCTGATACAATGTCTTGTTTTGAGGTGTTTGGACTGACGTCAAGTTTATGCAAATAAGGCTCAAATTCGCTAGTTAACTAGCAACTGTAACGACATATTTGAGACAAGTTCTCATTGTACAAATGTATTTATGTTTTCAATAAACATTGGAGATGAAATATAGTTTAGCCAACCCCGTCTGTTTTGCCCCATAGTTGCGCACGCATCAGTTTTGTTGCTAAACAACCAACCCTTCTATAAACCCCCATGTTCCCTTTGTTATATCATAATAAGTATAAAATGTGATATGATTCAGATATATAACCTGTAGTTTGTTACAAACTGACTTGTTCCTTTGGATGTACATACGTTCTGGTTGTCAGGATGTTAAAGTTATATTTGAATAATAATAGTGTCATTGAGATGACTGATCTTTGTTTTTTACTTTATGCTCATGTGTTTATAAAATAAAATGACTGTTTAACTCCGTTAGGTTCCAACATTTTAATAAGAAAACAAGCATCTAAGCATCATATTAAGGCCTCATTACAGCAGCATCATATTAAGGCCTCATTACAGCAGCATCATATTAAGGCCTCGTTACAGCAGCATTATATTAAGGCCTCGTTACAGTTTTTCCACAGTAGCTCTTTATCCAATGGTCAAATTAACTCTCAGCCTGATCTTGGGTCCTGTATAAAAACCTACAACTACTACCAGGGCGACCCCGCTCACAGGTATGGTTTCACTTTTCAGAATTACAAGTGTGTGGGCACGGGATGAATATTGTAAATAAAAGACACTGCGTAAACATTGCTATTGCGGGTTTGAATGAATCCCTGCCTTAGTCTGTGCATAACTATATAAAGGGAAAAACTCAAAACACTTTAAAATACAATTGTGGTACTCTGTAGCTCAATTGGTAGAGCACGGCGCTTGTAACGCCAGGGTAGTGGATTCGATCCCTGGGACCACCCATACGTAAAAATTTAAGCACACATGACTGTAAGTCGCTTTGGATAAAAGCGTCTGCTAAATGGCATATTATTTATTATTATTACAAACTGAAGTAACACAAGGGGACAGGAGCACAAAACGTGTAACGTGTTACAGACATGTTCTCTTGGGGTGTTGGGGGCCCTGGGGGTGCTGGGGGTGCGCCTCTGTCTTGTCCTTCTGAGCTTCTCTCTTGAGGGCCGACGGCTGGACCGGAGCCTCTACACTGTCCACGGTCTCCACCACACCACCCTACACACACACAGTATTAATTAACTGCTGAAGGCAAGCATCTTAAAATGTATTAAATGCGATTCAAATGAATTAATGAACTAAGTCAGGAGCTATTTAAATCATTGAACAGCATAAGGTCTGTATCTACAGTTCCCTTACTAAAATGGGGTGGTATTGTTCTACAAATAGAGGCACCATAACATTACTACGGAGTTACAGCACCACCTTGTGGCGAGAAGACATTACTGCATAAAGTCACTACGGTCCACATATCTAACAACCTGTAACATTACCTTGTTGTTCTGTACAGCGTGTTTCTCTGTCCACCTCTTGGCCTTCTCCAGATACACCTGCTTGCTGTACTTCAACTCCGATGACTGGGAGAGAAACATAACTCAGTGTGAGAGACATAATATACCGAGGGTGTCTCCGATGACTGGGAGAGAAACAGATAACTCAGTGTGAGAGACATAATATACCGAGGGTGTCTCCGATGACTGGGAGAGAAACAGATAACTCAGTGTGAGAGACAGATAATATACCGAGGGTGTCTCCGATGACTGGGAGAGAAACAGATAACTCAGTGTGAGAGACAGATAATATACCGAGGGTGTCTCCGATGACTGGGAGAGAAACAGATAACTCAGTGTGAGAGACAGATAATATACCGAGGGTGTCTCCGATGACTGGGAGAGAAACAGATAACTCAGTGTGAGAGACATAATATACCGAGGGTGTCTCCGATGACTGGGAGAGAAACAGATAACTCAGTGTGAGAGACAGATAATATACCGAGGGTGTCTCAGGGGAGTTGGAATACGCAAAAAAACACATTTCCAATTAAATAGGACAAACATAAGCACCCACCAAAATTATGAATTATACTGAACAAAAATATTAAAAACGGAACAATTTCAAAGATTTTACAGAGTTACAGTTCAAATAAGGAAAATCAGTCAATTGAAATAAATTCATTAGGCCCTAATCTATGGATTTCACTTGACTGGGCAGGGGCGCAGCCATGGGTAGGCCTGGGAGGGCATAGGCCCACCCACTGGGGAGCCAGGCCTAGCCAATCAGAATAAAGCCCACAAAAGGGCACACCCTCTGACGATCCCGCAAGTGAAGAAGCCGGATGCGAAGGGCTGCCGTGGTTACACGTGGTCTGCTGTTCTGAGGCCGGCTGGACGTACTGCCAAATTATCTAAAATGACGTTGGAGGCAGCTTATGGTAGAGGAATTATCAAAAAATTATCTTGGCAAAGGAGAAATGCTCACTAACATGGATGGAAACAAATGAATGCACAACATCAGCGAAATAAGGTTTTTGTGTGGAAAATGTATGTGATTTTTTATTTCAGCTCATGAAAAACATGTGACCAACACTTACTTGTTCAGTGTAGAAAGCTCAGTGTGTGAGACGGATAACTGTGTGTGGGCTATAGGAACAATATTAACTCTCTAGCATGGCGTTTGCAACGCCAGGGTTGTGGGTTCGATAAAATAATGTATGTGCTAACTGTAAGTCGCTCTGGATAAGAGCGTCTGCTAAATGACTAAAATGTAAATGATGTAACATCTCATTCCAAAATGATGGGCATTAATATGAAGTTGGTCCCCCCCTTTGCTGCTATAACAGCCTCCACTCTTCTGGGAAGGCTTTCCACTAGATGTTTGAACATTGCTGCGGGGACTTGCTTCCATTCAGCCACAAAGAGCATTAGTGAGGTCGGGCAATGATGTTGGGCGATTAGGCCTGGCTCACAGTCGGCGTTCCAATTCATCCCAAAAGGTGTTCGACAGGTTGAGGTCAGGCCTCTGTGCAAGCCAGTCAAGTTCTTCCACACCGATCTCGAAAAACCATTTCTGTATGGACCTCGCTTTGTGCATTGGGCCATTGTCATGCTGAAACAGGAAAGGGCCTTCCCCAAACTGTTGCCACAAAGTTGGAAGCACAGAATCGTCTAGATTGTTATTGTATGCTGTAGCATTAAGATTTCCCTTCAATGGAACTAAGGGGCCTAGCCCGAACCATGAAAAACAGCCCCAGACCATTATTCCTCCTCCACCAAACTTTACAGTTGGCACTATGCATTTGGGAAGGTAGCATTCTCCTTGCATCCGCCAAACATGTTTTTAACGTGTCCAAGTCAATAACCAACATGCAGAAACAGTTCGGACTGCCAGGTGGTGAAGCGTGATTCATCACTCCAGAGAACGCGTTTCCACTGCTCCGAGCCAGGCATGGGGATCTTAGGCCATGGAAACCCAGTTCATGAAGCTCCCGACGAACAGTTCTTATGCTGACGTTTCTTTCAGAGGCAGTTTGGAACTCAGTAGTGAGTACTTCAGCACTCCGTGGTCCCGTTCTGTGAGCTTGTGTGGCCGACCACTTCGCAGCTGAGCCGTTGTTGCTCCTAGACGTTTCCACTTAACAATAACAGCACTTACAGTTGACCGGGGCAGCTCTAGCAGGGCAGAAATTTCACGAACTGACTTGTTGGAAAGGTGGCATCCTATGACGGTGCCACGTTGAAAGTCACTGAGCTCTTCAGTAAGGCCATTCTACTGCTAATATTTGTCTATGGAGATTGCATGGCTGTGTGCTCGATTTGATACACCTGTCAGCAACGGGTGTGGCTGAAGTCTCCGAATGTCCTTGAGCGGCCCAGCCAGAGCCCCGACTTGAACCCGATCGAACATCTCTGGAGAGACCTGAAAATAGCTGTGCAGCGACGCTCCCCATCCAACCTGACAGAGCTTGAGAGGATCTGCAGAGAAGAATGGGAGAAAACTCCCCAAGTACAGGTGTGCCAAGCTTGTAGCGTCATACCCAAGAAGACTCGAGGCTGTAATCGCTGCCAAAGGTGCTTCAACAAAGTACTGAGTAAAGGGTCTGAATACTGATGTAAATGTGTTATATTTCTTTTTTTTTTACTTTGAATAAATTTGCTAACATGTCTAAAAAGCTGTTTTTGCTTTGTCATTATGGGGTATTGTGTGTAGATTGAGGGGAAAAAACAATGTAATCAATTTTAGAATAAGGATGTAACGTAACAAAATGTGGAAAACGTCAAGGGGTCTGAATACTTTCCGAATGCCCTGTATAGTCAAGGGGTCTGAATACTTTCCGAATGCCCTGTATATGAGCTATGGGGTCAGTATGTCTGATTTAACAGCTATGGGGTCAGTCTGAGTTTAACAGAGGTTAGATCGTACTGGTAAGCTCACTCCAAAACCTGAAATGTCGCCGGCCACATTGGTACGCACCTTTTCAGGGGCGCAACTGGTTAGTACATTGTCAAGCAGGGCGGTAACCTGTGTTTGAGTCGTTGTACGGACAGTGAAGGAGCAAAGTGACCTTGGTCAGTGTGTGTGTTACTCACTATGTCAGCCATGAGCGGGTCGTCCAGGTTGGGTTCAACCATCAGCAGCTGTATGGAGGTGAGCACTGTAGAGATGTTCAGGGAAGGTCTCCACGCACCCTACACACACACACACACACACACACACGGACACACACACACGGACACACACACACACACACGGAAAGAGGTGCTACACATGGTGTGGGGGGTGGCTGTCCATGTCTTACCATGGGTGGTAGTTTGAGTGCGTGTTTGCGTGGGTGTTACCCTGGGTGGTAGTTTGAGTGCGTGTTTGCGTGGGTGTTACCCTGGGTGGTAGTTTGAGTGTGTGTTTGAGTGTGTGTTACCCTGGGTGGTAGTTTGAGTGTGTGTTTGCGTGGGTGTTACCCTGGGTGGTAGTTTAAGGGCGTCGTGACAGATGCGACCAGTGTTGTCTATGTTGGGGTGGTAGATGGGGGTCAGGAACCTCATCTTAGGGGGCTCGAAGGGATACCTGGAGGGTTAGGAGAGAATCATCATTACGCAATCAAGATCGTTGTACCTAAAAGGTGTACTAGACCTGTATCTACTCAGAGATTTTAGTGTTTTATTATGTCAGAGTCACATCATACCTGTCTGGAACCTTGATCTCCAGTGAGAAGACTCCTCCTTCAAATGGAGTCTCGGCTCCACCCACTATCTCTGCACAGGACAGGAGAGTATCAACACCTATAGACGTTTATATCTATATAAAACTACATCATTGATCACTACTATAATTCATGTCTATAATATACGGTCTATATAATAGATAATTGATCAACACCAATAGGCTATCAATGGCTGATGCATGAAAATAGTTACTTCAACACGTATACTAGCACCCACCGAGAGGCTACATAACCGTACGATTGACTGATCGATAAGTTGATTGATTGATAGCTACTCACGGGCCCGGAGCTCGTCCATCTGCCCCTCCGTCTGCCAGCACGTAATCCCCGGTGAAGGCTCCGTGCTCATCATGTGCAGCTCTCGCTTTAAACGTGAGGTCCTCTGCATTCTCTAGCTCTGAGACACACGGTGAAATACATGTTTAACTAGTTAACTAACTCGTTACTTAGCTAACTTCAGACTAACGAAGTGACAAAACTTTAAACGGCAGAAGTCTGAATAGTTAGCTATCTACCTTACCCATATAACGTTACAGTAGCTAGCTAGAAGCTTTGTGTCAACTAAGGCTAGCCATGATGCTAAAACGAGCTGGACATTTGTTGGGTATATTATTATCGACAGTTTGTCATTTGGGCTTACCTGGACAAAATACTATGTCGTTTTCCGCTTCAAATACACCTGTAGGCGAGACTTTTAGCGAAAGAAAATAGAAGCTACCTAGGTAGTTTCTGAAGGGGCGTTTGACAGAACGTTTCGATTTTCCCTCCTTATACGTCACCGGAAACGCGCCTTTGGTGAAGTGCATTGTGAGTGATGTAGTTCATAGGCAGAATGTAGAAAACTTCTGATAGAAAATTGTAGGCTATCTACCAGAGCTTCATCCAAATGATAGAATAATGACACTGAGTCAAAATACATATATTCCGATTTATTTGAAAAACAAAAGTGAGACAAGGTTGCCAAGATTTATTCTAATACTAGCAGTCAAACAAGGAAATGGTTCCAATCGTTTTTCCACCATTCATTTTTTTCCATAGAGGATTTTAGAAACACTTAAAATAAGGGCTGTGTTTTGTGTAGCCTTAGCCTGGAGTGACGTTTTGATAACCGTGTAAATCTCTCTAGGAAAATGTGACTTTTATCAAGTTTGGTGGGGGAGGAATAATATTCTGGGGCTGTTTTTCATGGTTCGTGCTACGCCCCTTAGTTCCAGTGAAGGGAGATCTTATAGCTACAATGATGTTCTAGACGATTCTGTGCTTCCAACTTTGTGGCAACAGAGCCAGGCCTAATGGCCCGACATCAGTTCCCAACCTCACTAATGCTCTTTGTGGCTGAATGGAAGCAAGTCCCCGCAGCAATGTTCCAACATCTAGTGGAAAGCCTTCCCAGAAGAGTGGAGGCTGTTATAGCAGCAAAGTGGGACCAACTCCATATTAATGCCTATGATTTTGGAATGAGATGTTTGATGAGAAGGTGTCCATATACTTATGGTCATGTAGTGTAGATCTGAATTAAATGTATACAAATCTAAAAGTAAAAAAATCAATCAATCAATCAAATGTATTAATAAAGCCCTTTTTACATCAGCAGATGTGCTTATACTGAAACCCAGCCTAAAACCCCAGAGAGTAAACAATGCAGATGTAGAAGCAGGGTGGCTAGGAAGACTTCTAGAAAGGCTGGAACCTAGGAAGAAACCTAGAGAGGAACCAGGCTCTGAGGGGTGGCCAGTCCTCTACTGGCTGCACTGGGTAGAGAGGAACCAGGCTCTGAGGGGTGACCAGTCCTCTACTGGCTGTACTGGGTAGAGAGGAACCAGGCTCTGAGGGGTTGCCAGTCCTCTTCTGGCTGTGCCGGGTGGAGATTATAAGAGCACATGTCCATTAAGGTTAGATCGTTCTTCAAGATGTTTAAACGTTTCAAAGTCAACTAATGCGAGATCATCAGCCTCTACCATATGGACGCATAGATACACCGTGATCCATTGGTGGCTAAAGAAATGAGTGCATGGAACTCTTAGCCTATAGGCCAATGCAGCATAACTTCCATTGCTCTTTCACACTGAGGATTGGTGATTATCGAGGGGGAGATTATTGGAAAGATTTTAAAAATAGCTTACTATGAGGAACTATAGTTTGAATATATTATCATTCACAATGGATGTTAAAAACATTTCCGCGCAGCAGGCCAGGTACTTCTATGCAAGCTCAGGCGCCAGCGCTCCTTCAACATTATCTGGACAGAGAAACCAGACACCTGCTCACTGCTCACATGGAGCAATCCAAACAAAAGACAATGAAAACATTTACAAATCTCGTAAATGATGGTTATGAAATAAACCAAAAGTTGTTTCTCACCAGTGTAGCCGGTTGTGAACTCTGCAAACAACGTTTCCACTCCGAGAATGAGAATGGTAAAAGACAAATTAATACACGCATTAACAGAAATTAATGTAACCAAATGATCAGTTTGGCTTATTGCCACGCCCACTGCCCAAATAGGCCTATGATCTTGTGATTTGAAACAATCCACAGCTATTTATTAAAAGAAGAAAACTATCCTTGATTCCTCAATGGCGAATGATGGTGATGAAACCCTTTTGTGTGTGTGTGCATGTGATTCTGTGTATGTGTCCATCACTTCTCAGCAGTATCATATATAGCCTGGTAGGTGATGTGTTTGTGTTGTTGATCCTCCATAGTGACCTGGTTAAACCCAGAGGCTCTCAGAGCTTCCATGTAGGCCTTGGGTTGCCAGTTCTCTCCAGGGAACTCCCGCCTGGACGCAAAGCTGGCCACACTGCTCAGTCTTAGAGTGGTCACCATCACACCTCCTACAGCAGAGAGACATTCAGAGAGGTCCCCATCTCACCTCCTACAGCAGAGAGACATTCAGAGAGGTCCCCATCACACCTCCTACAGCAGATAGACATTCAGAGAGGTCCCCATCTCACCTCCTACAGCAGAGAGACATTCAGAGAGGTCCCCATCACACCTCCTACAGCAGATAGACATTCAGAGAGGTCCCCATCTCACCTCCTACAGCAGAGAGACATTCAGGATTACAAACCTCTTACACGAGCCGGGGAAGGGTCGCTTTAATTAACTTGTAAGGGGAGAGAGGGGAAAGGGGGGGAGAGAAGAGAGAGAGAGAGAGAGAGAGAGAGAGAAGAGAGAGATGAGAGAGTAGAGGAGAGGAAGAGAAAGAGAGAGAGAGAGAGGAGAGAGAGAGAGAGAGAGAGAGAGAGAGAGAGAGAGAGAGAAGAGAGAGAGAGAGAAGAGAGAGAGAGAGAAGAGTAGAGAGAGAGAAGAGAGAGAGCGAGAGAGAGAGAGATCTTCTATATCTCTATCTATCTCGCTCTCTCTCTCCTATCTTCTCTCATCTCTATCTATATACAACAACAACCACACAACAACCTCCCCAGTCCCACAACCACCACACCAACCCTCCCCAGTCAAACAAAAAACACAACAAAATCCCAGTCCCACAACACAACACACCAACCCTCCCCAGTCCCACAACCAACACACAACCCTCCCCAGTCCCACACACACCAACCCTCCCCAGTCCCCAAACCACACCAACCCTCCCCAGTCCCAAACCACCACACCAACCCTCCCCAGTCCCCACAACCAACCAACCCCCACCCAAACCACACAACCCTCCCCAGTCCCAAACCACACCACCAACCTCCCCAGTCCCACAACCAACCACACCAACCCTCCCCAGTCCCACAACCACACCAACCCTCCCCAGTCCCCACAACCACACCAAACCTCCCCAGTCCCCACAACCACCACAACCAAACCTCCCAGCACCCACAACACACACAACCTCCCAGTCCCCACAACCACACCAAACCTCCCCAGTCCCCACAAACCACACCAACAACCTCCCCAGTCCCACAAACCCACACCACACCAACCCTCCCCAGTCCCCACAACCACACCACACCAACCCTCTCCAGTCCCCTCTACCACACCACACCAACCCTCCCCAGTCCCCTCTACCACACCACACCAACCCTCTCCAGTCCCCTCTACCACACCACACCAACCCTCCCCAGTCCACACCACACCAACTCTCCCCAGTCTCCACAACCACACCACACCAACCCTCCCCAGTCTCCACAACCACACCAACCCTCCCCAGTCTCCACAACCACACCACCAACCCTCCCCAGTCCCCACAGCCACACCACACCACCCTCCCCAGTCCCCACAACCACACCACACCAACCCTCCCCAGTCCCCACAACCACACCACACCAACCCTCCCCAGTCCCCAGTCCCCACAACCACACCCCTCACCTGGTTTCATGACTCTGTGTATCTCTGCGGCTCCCTTCCTCAGGTCTGGCCAGTAGTAGTAACAATTACAGTGGAACACCTTGTCTACCATACTCTCTGCTAGAGGCATGGCTGCCACATCACACTGATACAGAGACACCTTCCCACTGGAGACCAACTCCTTCAGACGATCACCTGCCATCTAGAGTTGAGAGGAGGAGAGGGGTGAGGAGGAGAGGGGTGAGGAGAGGGGAGAGGAGTGGGGAGGAGAGGTGGGTGGAGGTTAGGAGAGGGGAGAGGAGTGGAGGAGGTGAGGAGAGGAGGAGAGGGAGGAGGATGGTGGGGAGGAGAGGGGTGGGAGGAGAGGGGAGAGGGGAGAGGAGGGGGGAGGTGAGGTGGGGGGAGGTAAGGAGTGGAGGAGAGGGAGGAGGCTGGTGGGGAGGTGAGGAAAGGAAAGGGGAGAGGAGTGGAGAGGAGATTAGGAGGGAGGTGGGGAGGTGAGGAGAGGGGAGTAGGGAGGTGAGGAAAGGAAAGGGGAGAGGAGTGGAGAGGAGAGGAGATTAGGAGGGAGGTGAGGAGAGGAGGAGAGGAGGGGGAGGTGAGAAAACCAGTGTTGTAGTTGAGTCACTAAACTACCACCCCTCTACACATGCACACACCCTACACACTCATTTAGTCTCTATCTCACCTGGTGCATATATTGTGAGTAGTCCACTCCTATGAGTCTCCCAGTAGGTTCTGTTAGTAGTGTGGCTGCAGCCTCCAGGCCCAGCCCCGGCCCACGGCCCAGCCCAGGCCCAGCCCCGGCCCAGCCCCGGCCCATGGCCCAGCTCTAACACTGGATCTCCAGGCTGGATACCACACAGTGACACCACACTCTCCTCTAACACCTTGTTGTGGTAAGATCTTACTTTTTGGAGAAATGTCCTCTGGTCTGATGAAACAAAAATAGAACTGTTTGGCCATAATGACCATCGTTATGTTTGGAGGAAAACGGGGGTGGCAGCATCATGCTGTGGGGGTGCTTTGCTGCAGGAGGGACTGGTGCACTTCACAAAATAGATGGCATCATGAGGAAGGAAAATTATGTGGATATATTGAAGCAACATCTGAAATATGAAAGCTGATCTACCCCTTAAAAAAAATTAAAAAATCTCAAGACATCAGTCAGGAAGTTAAAGCTTGGTCGCAAATGGGTCTTCCAAATGGACAATGACCCCAAGCATACTTCCAAAGTTGTGGCAAAATGGCTTAAGGACAACAAAGTCAAGGTATTGGAGTGGCCATCACAAAGCCCTGACCTCAATCCTATAGAAAATGTGTGGGCAGAACTGAAAAAGCGTGTGCGAGCAAGGAGGCCTACAAACCTGACTCAGTTACACCAGCTCTGTCAGGAGGAATGGGCCAAAATTCACCCAACTTATTGTGGGAAGCTTGTGGAAGGCTACCCGAAATGTTTGACCCAAGTTAAACAATTTAAAGGCAATGCTACCAAATACTAATTGAGTGTATGTAAACTTCTGACCCACTGGGAATGTGATGAAATAAATAAAAGCTGAAATAAATAATTATCTCTACTATTATTCTGACATTTCACATTCTTAAAATAAAGTGGTGATCCTAACTGACCTAAGACAGGGACTTTTTACTAGGATTAAATGTCAGGAATTGTGAAAAACGGAGTTTAAATGTATTTGGCTAAGGTGTATGTAAACTTCCAACTTCAACTGTACATTAGAAGTCTCAAGGTCATTGGCCACAGATAAAATGACGTCAAATCACGTTATATCTACCTTAGCTTTGATTGGACTGATCAAGTCAACATCATCATTTCAAAATCTTAGCTAGCAAGCTAGACAAGCAGTCATCATTACATTTTACATTTACATTTACGTCATTTAGCAGACGCTCTTATCCAGAGTGAGTGCATAAATTATATATATATATATATATATATATATATATTTTTTTTTTCTTCATACTGGCCCCCCGTGGGAAACGAACCCACAACCCTGGCGTTGCAAACTCTACCAACTGAGCTACATCCCTGCCGGCCATTCCCTCCCCTACCCTGGACGACGCTGGGCCAATTGTGCGCCGCCCCATGGGTCTCCCGGTCGCGGCCGGCTACAACAGAGCCTGGATTTGAACCAGGATCTCTAGTGGCACAGCTAGCACTGCGATGCAGTGCCTTAGACCACTGCGCCACTCGGGAGATAAAACGCCACTCATGCATCAAGTTGGCAATCTAGTGGCAAATCCTTTTCAATCCTTGTCATTAGGGGAGGGTTTGGCTGGCCGGGATGTCCTTGTATCATCGTGCTCTAGCGACTCCTTGTGGCGGGCCGGTCGGTCGACTTCGGTCGTCAGTTCGACAGTGTTTCCTCCGTCACATTGGTGCGGCTGGCTTTCGGGTTAAGCGAGCAGTGTGTCAAGAAGCAGTGCGGCTTGGCTCTCAACCTTCGCAGAGTCCGTAGGGGAATTGCAGCGATTAAACAAGATCATAACTAATTGGATATCATGAAAAAGGGGGTAACGCCATGGGCCAGAAAAGACTTCAGTGAGTTCAAGACAACTGGGAACTCGGATAAAACTAGCGCAGACTGGGAAAATACGGAAAATAATTTTGAACGGTCATCAATCTTTCTAGAGCCCTCAAGAAGGACCGCCGCGCCACCTTCCTGTTCAAGTTTTGGAAAGGCACACACCTGTCTATATAAGGTCCCACAGTTGACAGTGCAGGTCAGAGCAAAAACCAAGCCATGAGGTCAAAGGAATTGTCCGTAGAGCTCTGAGATAGGATTGTGTCGAGGCACAGATCTGGGGAAGGGTACCAAAACATTTCTGCAGCATTGAAGGTCCCCAAGAACACAGTGGCCTCCATCATTCTTAAATGGAAGAAGTTTGGAACCACCAAGACTCTTCCTAGAGCTGACTACCCGACCAAACTGAGCAATCAGGGGAGAAGGGCCTTGGTCAGGGAGGTGACCAAGCTCCAGAGTTTCTCTTTGGAGATGGGAGAACCTTCCAGAAGGACAACCATCTCTGCAGCACTCCACCAATCAGGCCTTTATGGTAGAGTGGCCAGACGAAAGCTACTCCTCAGTAAAAGGGACATGACAGCCCGCTTGGAGTTTGCCAAAAGGCACCTAAAGGACTCTCAGACTATGAGAAAAAATATTCTCTGGTCTGATGAAACCAAGATTGAACTCTTTGACCCTAATGCTAAGCGTCACATCTGGAGGAAACCTGGCACCATCCCTACGGTGAAGCATGGTGGTGGCAGAATCATGCTGTGGGGATGTTTTTCAGCGGCAGGGACTGGGAGACTAGTCAGGATCGAGGGAAAGATGAATGGAGCAAAGTACAGAGAGATCCTTGATGAAAACCTGCTCCAGAGCGATCAGGACCTCAGACTGGGGCGAAGGTTCACCTTCCAACAGGACAGGAGAGACCTGAAAATAGCTGTGCAGCGACGCTCCCCAAGAATGGGAGAAACTCCCCAAATATAGGTGTGCCAAGCTTGTAGCGTCATACCCAAGAAAACTCGAGGCTGTAATCGCTGCCAAAGGTGCTTCAACAAAGTACTGAGTAAAGGGTCTGAATACTTATTTAAATGTGACATTTCAGTTGTTGTTTTTTTATACATTTGCAAAAATGTCTATAAGCCTGTTTTTGCTTTGTCATTATGGGGTATTGTGTGTAGATTATTGAGGAAAAATAACATTTAATCAATTTTAGAATAAGGCTGTAATGTAACAGAATGTCGAAAAATTCAAGGGGTCTGAATACTTTCCGAATGCACTGTATTTGCATACGTTATGGTCTTGTGAAGGCTGGCTGAATTCTGGCAAAGAGTATGTTCTTTTATCTCAGCATGTCTATAGATTCTCCCTTCTCCCTGTTTTTTTTGGCTTGGAAATGTTGATACTGGAGACTGTTTTCTTAAGAAACTGCGTAACCAAGCATTTATAGCGGCTAAGAAATGCTTTGCCATTAATCGGAAGGTTGGTTATCCACCCACATGTCAAGTTATGTATTAGTAGATTTGATTTATTACAAGATTAAGGGTCTACTGGGCAACTTTCATAAGGTCTGGATGCCTTATATGGAATACAGTACGACTAAAGGAGTCTGTATTGAAAACACGCTCACGTCAGGGGAGATACCTATTAGGCAATCCCTAGCTGCTGGGCTGCTCAGTCCTGGCCCTGGGGGTCTGCTGGGTTGTGGAGAGGACAGGGCGACATTGGGTTGGGGCGCTGCAGGGTGGGGGACCCCTAGGGAGAGGACAGGGCGACGTTGGGTTGGGGCGCTGCAGGGTGGGGGACCCCTAGGGAGAGGACAGGGCGACGTTGGGTTGGGGCACTGCAGGGTGGGGGACCCCTAGGGAGAGGACAGGGCGACGTTGGGTTGGGGTGCTGCAGGGTGGGGGACCCCTAGGGAGAGGACAGGGCGACGTTGGGTTGGGGTGCTGCAGGGTGGGGGACCCCTAGGGAGAGGACAGGGCGACCCAGCTAGATTGTGTGCAAGTAAAAAGAGGTATACAGTACTATTAGTTCTATGAGATTAATTATATGGAGGATTTTCTGTTTCTGTGTGTTCATGTATATTTGAGGTGTATGTCGGTTTTTGTGTGTTGTTTTTTTGTTTCCAAACCTTTAAAAAATGAAAGGTGGAAACTGGGAAGGAAATTGTGTTGGGAGAGAGTTTAGTTATTAACTAGACTGGTGGGCGTCGGGCGTGCAGGCGGCTCGGGCTGGCTGGTTGGTCTGGCTGAAATTTGATATCGAGGATGTCTTAATAAAGACAATCAAAAGTATTTGTATTTTTTCAAGAGTTTGTTAGGCTATTGGTTAAAGGTGCAACACAATATGTATTATTGAATTACCTTTGATCTAGTTAAATCTTATGAATCACTTAAACATATTTAATAATTATATCTTACCTAGCTTTATGACTGTGGGCATTTTTGCTTAATTTCTGTTCTATATAGAGATGACATATTGGATTGTGTAAAAATGCAGGAAATGATATTTAGATGCCCAGATCCCCAGGTTATGTCCCCCCCACTCCTAAAACCAAAGTGGTGCTCCTGTCTAGATAATTTCATTGAGAGAGAAAAACAGTTTTTCTGTACACAGCAGGTTCGGCTGATTGCACTTTTATCACGGTCCCTTAGCCGTGTGCACAATATTCCCCTACTGAAACCAACATAAACTAACCTTTTGAAAACAGAATGGAACGGAGGGCTGGACCTTGCTCTCTAGCGTCATCTGATTCTAGATATATCACCCTAATCCTTTAGGAGCTTCCATCGAAGAGGTGTTGACGAGCGAACTCCGAATATTAAACCAATATCCAAACTGAAAACAAATGTAATGCGGCGTTAGCTGGGGAGGGCTCATTAGGACGACTGAATGAACCGAATCCTTTCCTCCCCCTTTTTTTAAAATTATTGTTTATTGAATCAAATATAAACACACACTCAGACATAATTTAATTCAAGAATTGATAAGAGCATAAAAGACAAACAAAAAATAATATGTTTATTCCCACTCAGCTCTCGCTGCGCGACATTCGTCATGAATTTTGGGCACCAGGCGTCCAAATAGCCTCTCCCGAAAAAACACGCACCACGATCAATTTAGATAAGCGAGATAGCGCAAGCTGCACGCTAAGGCTTGAGCGCATGGAAGTGATATCTGCACTTTTTGAAAAAACATACACACACACACCTCTATGGATCCTTTCGATTTCGATTCCCGGAAACAAGGATCATATGTCATTATAGTAGTCGGACTGCATCTGAAAATCATGTACAGCTCATACGTTTAGATTCCATAATAACTTATTCTGACCGTTAATGATAGAAGTCTTATACACATAATTATCGTATTAGCGGACGGATTGTTGATCACCTGAGCTCTTATATAGAGCATTATTCTACTAGTCTACTTCCGGACAGACAGGTAGAGAACGATGGAAGACAGAGGCAGCTCCCGGTCAGATCTGATCAAGGTAAACTGAAGCCCTGATGACATGAATAGGAAACGCTTCCACGTCGTACAAGTAATGTTTCCGTTTTAATAGGAATGTATAGAGAGATGGATTATGTTTGTTTTACACATTGTGTCAGCTGTTTTTACTCCCAGCGAAAGATCGAGCAGTTTAAGGGAGAAAGAGAAAGAGACACTTTCACTTTTGCATTTAGTTCTGCATGTGTGCTTTCATGCTCGCTAGATATACATTTATTCACTGATAAAGGAGACAGAATAGTTGTGGGCTTAACTGTGTTGTATTTGAAAAAACATAACTTAAAATTATAATATAAAAAAGTGTGTGTGTGTGTGTGTGTGTGTGTGTGTGGCAGGACCATGGAGAGCCCAGTCCTTTGGCTGTTCTCACTCCCCTAGCCCCTGGCAGAGGAGTGCTGTTCCCTCCATCTCTCTTTCCTCCCTGCTCTGCCCTCCTCCCTCCAGTCATCCCCCATTCACAGGAAGACCTGTGGCAGCTACCTGGAAGACTACGTGAGTCAACCACACACACAAATATACATACATACACGCACACACACACTTACTTGTTGGCTAACAACTACGTGCATGTATATGGTGTCTGTGTGTGTGTGTGTTTAGGTATAAACCCGTCTCTGTGGGATAAGGAGGATGTGTGCCACTGGCTGCACTGGGCTCAGAGGGAATATTCTCTCCTCAGAACTGAGAGAGGACGTTTTGAGATGAATGGCAGAGCTCTCTGCCTCCTCACCAAGGAAGACTTCAGACGACGCTGTCCTGATTCAGGTACGCCACTGGGGAGAGCTCCTCTCTCTGTTTCCAGGTGATGTACAATACGAGCTCCTCTCTCTCTGTTTCCAGGTGATGTACTGTACGAGCTCCTCTCTCTGTTTCCAGGTGATGTACTGTACGACCTCCTCTCTCTCTGTTTCCAGGTGATGTACAATACGAGCTCCTCTCTCTGTTTCCAGGTGATGTACTGTACGAGCTCCTCTCTCTGTTTCCAGGTGATGTACTGTACGACCTCCTCTCTCTCTGTTTCCAGGTGATGTACAATACGAGCTCCTCTCTCTGTTTCCAGGTGATGTACTGTACGAGCTCCTCTCTCTGTTTCCAGGTGATGTACTGTACGAGCTCCTCTCTCTGTTTCCAGGTGATGTACAATACGAGCTCCTCTCTCTGTTTCCAGGTGATGTCAATACGAGCTCCTCCTTTTCCGTTACGAGCTCCTCTCTCTGTTTCCAGGTGATGTACTGTACGAGCTCCTCTCTCTGTTTCCAGGTGATGTACTGTACGAGCTCCTCTCTCTGTTTCCAGGTGATGTACTGTACGAGCTCCTCTCTCTGTTTCCAGGTGATGTACAATACGACCTCCTCTCTCTGTTTCCAGGTGATGTACAATACGACCTCCTCTCTCTGTTTCCAGGTGATGTACAATACGAGCTCCTCTCTCTGTTTCCAGGTGATGTACTGTACGAGCTCCTCTCTCTCTGTTTCCAGGTGATGTACTATACGAGCTCCTCTCTCTGTTTCCAGGTGATGTACTATACGAGCTCCTCTCTCTGTTTCCAGGTGATGTACTGTACGAGCTCCTCTCTCTGTTTCCAGGTGATGTACAATACGACCTCCTCTCTCTGTTTCCAGGTGATGTACAATACGACCTCCTCTCTCTGTTTCCAGGTGATGTACTGTACGAGCTCCTCTCTCTCTGTTTCCAGGTGATGTACAATACGACCTCCTCTCTCTCTGTTTCCAGGTGATGTACTATACGAGCTCCTCTCTCTGTTTCTAGGTGATGTACAATACGAGCTCCTCTCTCTGTTTCCAGGTGATGTACAATACGACCTCCTCTCTCTCTGTTTCCAGGTGATGTACTGTACGAGCTCCTCTCTCTGTTTCCAGGTGATGTACAATACGAGCTCCTCTCTCTGTTTCCAGGTGATGTACTGTACGAGCTCCTCTCTCTGTTTCCAGGTGATGTACTGTACGAGCTCCTCTCTCTGTTTCCAGGTGATGTACTGTACGAGCTCCTCTCTCTGTTTCCAGGTGATGTACTGTACGAGCTCCTCTCTCTGTTTCCAGGTGATGTACAATACGACCTCCTCTCTCTGTTTCCAGGTGATGTACAATACGAGCTCCTCTCTCTGTTTCCAGGTGATGTACTGTACGAGCTCCTCTCTCTCTGTTTCCAGGTGATGTACTATACGAGCTCCTCTCTCTGTTTCCAGGTGATGTACTATACGAGCTCCTCTCTCTGTTTCCAGGTGATGTACTGTACGAGCTCCTCTCTCTGTTTCCAGGTGATGTACAATACGACCTCCTCTCTCTGTTTCCAGGTGATGTACAATACGACCTCCTCTCTCTGTTTCCAGGTGATGTACTGTACGAGCTCCTCTCTCTCTGTTTCCAGGTGATGTACAATACGACCTCCTCTCTCTCTGTTTCCAGGTGATGTACTATACGAGCTCCTCTCTCTGTTTCCAGGTGATGTACAATACGAGCTCCTCTCTCTGTTTCCAGGTGATGTACAATACGACCTCCTCTCTCTCTGTTTCCAGGTGATGTACAATACGACCTCCTCTCTCTCTGTTTCCAGGTGATGTACAATACGAGCTCCTCTCTCTGTTTCCAGGTGATGTACAATATGACCTCCTCTCTCTCTGTTTCCAGGTGATGTACAATACGACCTCCTCTCTCTCTGTTTCCAGGTGATGTACAATACGACCTCCTCTCTCTCTGTTTCCAGGTGATGTACAATACGACCTCCTCTCTCTCTGTTTCCAGGTGATGTACAATACGACCTCCTCTCTCTCTGTTTCCAGGTGATGTACAATACGAGCTCCTCTCTCTGTTTCCAGGTGATGTACAATACGAGCTCCTCTCTCTGTTTCCAGGTGATGTACAATACGACCTCCTCTCTCTCTGTTTCCAGGTGATGTACAATACGACCTCCTCTCTCTCTGTTTCCAGGTGATGTACAATACGACCTCCTCTCTCTCTGTTTCCAGGTGATGTACAATACGACCTCCTCTCTCTCTGTTTCCAGGTGATGTACAATATGACCTCCTCTCTCTCTGTTTCCAGGTGATGTACTGTACGAGCTCCTCTCTCTGTTTCCAGGTGATGTACAATACGAGCTCCTCTCTCTGTTTCCAGGTGATGTACAATACGAGCTCCTCTCTCTGTTTCCAGGTGATGTACAATACGACCTCCTCTCTCTCTGTTTCCAGGTGATGTACAATATGACCTCCTCTCTCTCTGTTTCCAGGTGATGTACTGTACGAGCTCCTCTCTCTGTTTCCAGGTGATGTACAATACGAGCTCCTCTCTCTGTTTCCAGGTGATGTACAATACGAGCTCCTCTCTCTGTTTCCAGGTGATGTACAATACGAGCTCCTCTCTCTGTTTCCAGGTGATGTACTGTACGACCTCCTCTCTCTGTTTCCAGGTGATGTACAATACGAGCTCCTCTCTCTCTGTTTCCAGGTGATGTACAATACGACCTCCTCTCTCTCTGTTTCCAGGTGATGTACTATACGACCTCCTCTCTCTCTGTTTCCAGGTGATGTACAATACGAGCTCCTCTCTCTCTGTTTCCAGGTGATGTACTGTACGAGCTCCTCTCTCTGTTTCCAGGTGATGTACAATATGACCTCTCTCTGTTTCCAGGTGATGTACTATACGAGCTCCTACAGTGTGTGAAGCAGCAGAGAAGAGGTGTGGCCTGTGGAGACCAAACTCCACTCACCCTGACCCTCCCCCAGCCCCCTCTCAGTCTCACCCAACTCCCCCCTACTATAAACACCCAGTCACCCCAAACCAATGGAAGCCAGGGTCCCCGACCGCTAGGAGCCAATGTATCAACAGGTGAGTTTCTGTTCTGTTCTAACCTAACAAGCATAAAAGAAACGCCATCCGGTGTTCAGGGAGAAACGGAAGCTAGGTTGAAGATGACTGTACCCCTTAAAACGTAACGTTATGACTATAACTGCTGTTCCCTGAAGGAGGGAAACGAGGTACAGCACACTATGGGGTGTCGCACTCTTGCGACTTCGATTGAAGGATCTACAGTCACGCCTGACAAGGCCAATTAAATCGCACCTCGTTGGAAGCCCCGCCTTCCACAGGTGATAAGCATGAGGCTCGAATTCATTCCTTCAATTTAATACCGCTCTTCACCGAGCCGAGGAACAGCCGGCACTGCGCTAAACAGCCGCTATACCTCGTTTCCCTCCTTCAGGGAACAGTAGTTATACTCATAACTTTACGTTCTCTTTCAGTCAGTCAACTTCGGTACAACATACTATGGGGAAATATAATCACACCCCAAGCCGGATACTAAATGAAACGTGCATAAAGCTCACAGCAGACAGGGCATGTCAGCTCTCTTGCTCTTCAGAAGCAAAAGGAGGAGGTGAAAAGGGAAATAGACATGGCCATAACATAGTCATGACTTTCAAGGCGAAGGGAGCATTTGAATGCAACGTCACCTTAAAGTCGGCCGGGGCCAACTGAGCGCCGGATAACGCGTGGAGGCCATGAGCACGGAGGTTTTGTAGGAGAGGATCTTCAGATCCACTGACTCCAGAGGCTCAAAGGGGGCAAAACACAGTGCCTCCAAAACCAGCGCCAAGTCCCATGTGGGCACAATATGTTTAGAGACCGGTCGATGAGACGTTTTACACCTTTCAGGAACCACACCACCAGGGCAGGGCGGTCTGAGAAGACATACACCTTTCAGGAACCACACCACCAGGGCAGGGCCCCCGGTGAGGCTCCGTCAACTCCCACATGACACGCTGAGATAGCGGCCATGTACACTTTTTTTTTTAAAGCTGCTGTAGCACAGGGGGTTGGTGGCACCTTAATTGGGGAGGACGGGCTCGTGGTAATGGCTCTCTCTCTGCAGGTGGTATTGGGGAGGACGGGCTCGTGGTAATGGCTGGAGCGGAATGGGTGGAATGGTTTCAAATACATCAAACACATGGTTTCCATGGTTTGATGCCGTTCCATTCGTACCGTTCCAGACATTATTATGAACCGTCCTCCAATCAGCAGCCTCCACTGACCTGTAGGAACACAAGGATGTCCCTCACAGAGCACTGAAAAGGAACCAGTCCTTTATCTTGGTACCAGAGCTCAAACACTTGCCACTTATACGCATACAGCGCTATCATGGAGGGAGCCCTTACAGACTGAATGGTAGTTATAGCATTCGGAGGTAAACCTCTAGCCATCAGATTGGCCCTCTTAGGGGCCAGGCCCATAGGAACCAAATCTTCGGCCTTGCTTGTCAAACCTGGCCGTGTGCCTGGGACAACAGATCTCCACGAACCAAGGCTGCCTGGGCCAACGGGAAGCAACAAGAATCAATGATAAGCCCTTCCGGTGCGGACTGAATCAGAACCACTGGCGGAAACGCGGAAAGGACGGTCCGAAGCCACTGGTGTGCCAGCGCGTCCGTTCCCAATGGGGCACGCAGGACCCTCATCGAGAAAAATAAGACACTGCACGTTTTCTCGCGATGGGTAAAGATCTACGTCGGCCCTGCCAAAAAAGTCCATAACAGGGAGACCACCCAGGGGTGTAGCCTCCACTCCTGAGAGAGAGGGTCCCACATGGTTAAAAGATCTGCACCCGAGTTGAGGCAACCGGGGACATGCGTCGCCCAAAGCGAGAGCATATGCACACTGCCCCCCAGCAATAGGGAGCAAGCCACGGTTAGGAGGGAGAGAGACCGTCTGTAGATGAATGCCACCGCTGAAATATTGTCGGCTCTGACCAGCACAAGCCGGCCCGACAAAGGCGGGTGGAAGCGTCTGAGCACCAGACACACCGTTAGGCACTCCAGGTAATGAATATGCAGTGCGTGTCACCATCTGTCGTGATCAGCTTGAGGGATACAACTCTGCCCATGGGAGCCCCCTGACAATAGTAGAGGGTCCCACCGCTGGGACAGGGCCCAAAGGCCTGACGGGGACACCCAAAGTGACCGGTTTAGGCTGCGAGATGCACCCAGGTGAGTAGCTAGCACTCAGCGCTGAAAGGGCTGCATCAACTATAGCCCCATGGGGAACGACTTCCATCACAGAAGCCTTCGTCCCCAGTAGGCACTGGCCAAAACGCACTGTGTGACCCACCTGAAATTTGGCTAAGCAGAGCCGGAACCCGGACACCCTCCATGGGGATAGAAAAGCGCGAAACGCGAGTGAGTCTAGCTCGAGAACCAGACGCAGGATGCGCTGAGATGAAGTCAGACAGCTCTTTTTCTGGTTTCTTATGAAGCCTAGAGACTGAATACGGGACAGTAGCATGGATGTCTGCTTGCCCCCTCGACTCCTCCACTACCAGACAAGACGCTTGAGCTTTCTGAGTTTGAGACTGAGGTGCTTGCTGAGGGCACGTAGGTCTAGAATGGGATGCAAATTCCTGACCCTTTTCGGGACCAGGAAATACAGTACAACTCAGACTGCCTGCTTCAAGAGATGGGAGGCTATTTCCTCCCTCAAAATGGACGCTGAGGCCTCGGGAACAGTCGACGTGATGACTCTGCACAACTAATTGTAGCCTGTACCTTGACATCACTGTTTGCATGATCCAGAGTGGCACACCGTTGGTCGGAGCAGACAGCGAGCCTCCCGTGAAGTGCCATCTGAAGGGGCGAGACGCCACCTTGACAACCGTTTCCACCACTCTTGACAACCGTGTGTCTGAACTTGGAGAAGGGACACTTTTCATCGAACTCACATGAACACTGTGGAACTTGGGGTTGAAAAAACAGTGTTTATGTGCTAAGGTTTGCCTAAAGCCCGGCCCACTCTGGGTACAAGGGCTCCGACGATCAGTGACAAACTCCGATTGGGAGTGCCACCTGGGGGTACACTTGTCACAACGAGCCAGTGAGGCGGTAAGATGCGTTCCAGTAACCAGCTGGCACCCAGCGCTGGATGGAATGCATTATCATGGAGGTTACCTTACAGACCGGTCATGGGTACTGGCTGGGAATGGGACAGACAGCACTGGAAAATCGGACCCCTTCTGTAGTAACAGACGGACGATAAATGATCAATTCTAATTCCCAGGAATGAAAAGCACTGAGCTGGAGAAAAGACAGCTCATTTCGGGGTTCATATGAACCACAGGGAATGTGTATGGGATAATAGCATGGTCCAACTCTGCTTGTTCCCCCATAACCTGTATCACTAGACAGCCCATAGAGACTAGTGAGCTACAGGCAGGAATCGGCAATGGATCCCAGTAATGAGCCATCTATGGGGAGGGGTGCCCCCTTGTGGACAGAGAGCGAATCGCCCAACTTATTACTCCCACCCTGGGGCATGGCTGCCCGAGGGCTACTTCCTCATTGGAGGAGCATGCCCCGCTCTCTCTACTCCCTCCAACTCCAGGAATTTAAAATAGGAATGGGTTTGCCATAGTGCTGGGGGAACACTAGTTAGCTTCATTCACCGGAAGTTATGCATGCTAGCCGACGCTAGCTAACCTCTTTGACCGCAGCACGGTCCGTTTAGAATAACCAAGAGACTTAATGCTACGTATACTAAACGAGATCTACCCAAGCAACTCCACCATGGGGAGGCAGGAATAGATCAACTCCACCGTGGGGAGGCAGGAATAGATCAACTCCACCGTGGGGAGGCAGGAATAGATCAACTCCACCGTGGGGAGGCAGGAATAGATCAACTCCACCGTGGGGAGGCAGGAATAGATCAACTCCACCGTGGGGAGGCAGGAATAGATCAACTCCACCGTGGGGAGGCAGGAATAGAGCAACTCCACCGTGGGGAGGCAGGAATAGATCAACTCCACCGTGGGGAGGCAGGAATAGATCAACTCCACCGTGGGGAGGCCGGAATAGATCAACTCCACCGTGGGGAGGCAGGAATAGATCAACTCCACCGTGGGGAGGCAAGAATACATTTACATTACATTTACGTCATTTAGCAGACGCTCTTATCCAGAGCGACTTACAAATTGGTGCATTCACCTTATAGCCAGTGGGATAACCACTTTACAACTTTTTTTTTTGTGGGGGGGGGGGGATGGGTAGAAGGAATACTTTATCCTATCCCAGGTGTTCCTTAAAGAGGTGGGGTTTCAAATGTCTCCGGAAGGTGGTGAGTGACTCCGCTGTCCTGGCGTCGTGAGGGAGCTTGTTCCACCATTGGGGTGCCAGAGCAGCGAACAGTTTTGACTGGGCTGAGCGGGAACTGTGCTTCAGCAGAGGTAGGGGAGCCAGCAGGCCAGAGGTAGATGAACGCAATGCCCTCGTTTGGGTGTAGGGACTGATCAGAGCCTGAAGGTACGGAGGTGCCGTTCCCCTCACAGCTCCGTAGGCAAGCACCATGGTCTTGTAGCAGATGCGAGCTTCAACTGGAAGCCAGTGTAGTGTGCGGAGGAGCGGGGTGACGTGAGAGAACTTGGGAAGGTTGAACACCAGACGGGCTGCAGCATTCTGGATGAGTTGTAGGGGTTTAATGGCACAGGCAGGGAGCCCAGCCAACAGCGAGTTGCAGTAATCCAGACGGGAAATGACAAGTGCCTGGATTAGGATCCGTGCCGCTTCCTGTGTAAGGCAGGGTCGTACTCTCCGAATGTTGTAGAGCATGAACCTACAGGATCGGGTCACCACCTTGATGTTAGCGGAGAACGGGTGTTGTCCAGGGTCATGCCAAGGCTCTTCACACTCTGGGAGGAGGACACAACGGAGTTGTCAACCGTGATGGCGAGATCATGGAATAGGCAGTCCTTCCCCGGGATGAAGAGCAGCTCCGTCTTGCCAAGGTTCAGCATGAGGTGGTGATCTGTCATCCATACTGATATGCCTGCCAGACATGCAGAGATGCGATTCGCCACCTGGTTATCAGAAGGGGGAAAGGAGAAGATTAGTTGTGTGTCGTCTGCGTAGCAATGATAGGAGAGGCCATGTGAGGATATGACAGAGCCAAGTGACTTGGTGTATAGCGAGAATAGGAGTGGGCCTAGAACTGAGCCCTGGGGGACACCAGTGGTGAGAGCATGTGGTGCGGAGACAGCTTCTCGCCACGCCACTTGGTAGGAGCAACCGGTCAGGTAGGACGCAATCCAAGAGTGAGCCGCGCCGGAGATGCCCAGCTCGGAGAGGGTGGAGAGGAGGATCTGATGGTTCACAGTATCAAAGGCAGCAGACAGGTCTAGAAGGACAAGAGCAGAGGAGAGAGAGTTAGCTTTAGCAGTGCGGAGAGCCTCCATGACACAGAGAAGAGCAGTCTCAGTTGAATGACCAGTCTTGAAACCTGACTGGTTTGGATCAAGAAGGTCATTCTGAGAGAGATAGCAGGAGAGTTGGCTAGAGACGGCACGCTCAAGAGTTTTGGAGAGAAAAGAAAGAAGGGATACTGTCTGTAGTTGTTGACATCGGAGGGATCAAGTGTAGGTTTTTTGAGGAGGGGTGTAACTCTCGCTCTCTTGAAGACGGAAGGGACATAGCCAGCGGTCAAGGATGAGTTGATGAGCGAGGTGAGGTAAGGGAGAAGGTCACCGGAGATGGTCTGGAGAAGAGAGGAGGGGATAGGGTCAAGCGGGCAGGTTGTTGGGCGGCCGGCCGTCACAAGTCGCAAGATTTTATCTGGAGAGAGAGGGGAGAAAGAAGTCAAAGCATAGGGTAGGGCAGGACCAGCAGTGTCATTTGACTTAACAAACGAGGATCGGATGTCGTCAACCTTCTTTTCAAAATGGTTATCCACAGAGAGGGAGGAGGGGGGGAGGGGGAAAAGATTCAGTGAAAAGATGCCAGGTCCGCAGGGAGCCCTGTTCTGTGAGCTCGCAATGAGTCATCAAGCCACGGAGCTGGAGGGGAGGACCGAGCCGGCCGGGAGGATAGGGGACATAGAGAGTCAAAGGATGCAGAAAGGGAGGAGAGGAGGGTTGAGGAGGCAGACACACACACACACACACACACATACAGACACACAGACACACACACACACACACAGACACACACACACACACACACACACACACACATACACACACAGACACACACACAGACACACAGACACACACACACACAACACACACACACACACACACACACACAGACACACAGACACACAGACACACACACAGGTCAGGTGTAGGTGGTTTCCGTGAGGGCAGTTGGTTGTGGTGTGTGTGGGTGTGTGTGTGTGCCAGTAGGTTTGTTCTGTTAACCCCCAGTCCCCCCTCTCTGTCTCCCTCTATCCTCCTCTGTCTCCTCACTCCCCCTGTCCCCACCTCTACCTTGTCTCCCCCTCTCCCCCCTCTCTACACACACACACACACACACACACACACACACACACATATACACACACACACACACACACACACACTGGTGAGCACCACACACACACTATGCACAGCAACTTTTTTATCTGTTTGTGATCTCTCTCTCAGATGTGTCCAAGTGTCCTCCCACAATCCTAGCTCCAGGAGGAGGAGCCTCTCAACCTGTCCAATCAGGAGAGGCCTCATGATGAAGTCCCACCCCAGAGAGGCCAATGGCAGTTTCCAGGTAACGCACACCACACACTCAGACCACACACATCAGACACACACACAGCACACACAGACCCTCCTCTCGAGTACAGATAGTCTCCTTATCTGAGCTGTTAGATCGAAGCATAGAGATCTAGAATCTAGTCGTCTGGACTGATACGTATTAGATAAGTCTTCATTCTCTCTATAATCTCCTATATATATCTATCTATCTATCTATATATCTCTATCTCTATATATCTCTCTATATAGTCCGCCTCTATACTGTTGTCTATATGTTAATCTATCTCTGTACTCTGTCTCTCTCTCTTTCTCTCTCTGGTCTCTCTCCTGGCCTCTCCTCTCTCTCTCTCTCTATCTCTGTATCTCTCTCTCTCTCTCTCTCTCTCTATCTCGCTCTCTCTCTATCTCTCTCTATCTCTGTCTCTCTCTCTGTCTCTCTCTCTCTCTCTGTCTCTCTCTCTGTCTCTCTCTCTGTCTCTCTCTGTCTCTCTCTCTGTCTGTCTCTCTCTCTGTCTCTGTCTCTCTCTGTCTGTGTAGACTGCAGGTTGCTGTGGGACTATGTGTACCAGCTGTTGTCAGACCAGCGTTACCAGCCCTTCATCCGCTGGGAAGACCAGGAGAGCCTGGTGTTCAGGGTGGTCGACCCCAACGGACTAGCTCGACTCTGGGGGAACCACAAGGTACGCTGGGGGTCTGTCTGGAGCTCACAGGACGGATGGTGTCACAGAGTTCTAGTAAAGGGTTGGGGTCAATTCCATTTCAATTCAGTCAATTCAGGAAGCATTTTTGGAAATGGAATTTCAGTTTCCTACTAGAATTGACAGTGGTGATGATGGTGGTGGTGATGACGGTAGTGATGGTGATGACGGTAGTGATGACGGTAGTGATGGTGATGACGGTAGTGATGACGGTATGATGGTGATGACGGTAGTGATGATGATGACGGTGGTGGTGACGGTAGTGATGTGATGACGGTAGTGATGACGGTAGTGATGGTGATGACGGTGGTGGTGACGGTAGTGATGGTGATGACGGTGGTGATGACGGTAGTGATGGTGATGACGGTGGTGGTGACGGTAGTGATGATGATGACGGTGGTGATGATGGTAGTGATGGTGATGACGGTAGTGATGGTGATGACGGTGGTGGTGACGGTAGTGATGGTGATGACGGTAGTGATGGTGATGACGGTAGTGATGACGGTATGGTGGTGATGACGGTAGTGATGATGATGACGGTGGTGGTGATGTCTCCCTGTAGAACCGAGCCAACATGACGTATGAGAAGATGTCTCGTGCTCTAAGACACTACTACAAACTCAACATCATCAAGAAAGAACCAGGACAGAAGCTACTCTTCAGGTGGGACACACACACACACACACACCACACACACACACACACACACACACACACACACACATACACACACACACACACACAGACACACACACACACACACACACACACACACACCACACTCAGCCCTTCTCCTCTCCTCTCCAGGTTTCTCAAGACCCCCCAGGAGATCAAGCGACACCGAGCGGACCGCCTCGACTCAGCAGATTCCCCTGAACACACACACACACCCTCACACACACTCCGGCGGGACTTCAGTGAGGATGGTTTGGAGTTGTCCCCTGAATACAGCCCCCCAATCTCTAACCCCTGACTCTAACCCCTGGGGGGTTAGGTGCCATCATAACCATGAAGGTATGAACATGGGTACTCCTGTGTTGAGGTATTGGCTGTATTGCACTGTGAGATGGCTATGTATTTGAGCAGTAATCTACAACCCACTATCATACTATGGAAAAGTGATGCTGGGTAGCTAGTGACTAGATTCCCCAAATAAAACACTATTCATCAGGAAAGAACAGAGCTGTCTGATCACAACCGTACTCATCTGCAGCTTCATGAATTACAGAATCACTTTTAAAACTACACACACATCTTCTGCTTACACAAATACCACAACTCACAGTTCTGTTCCCAGTTCTTCTGATGCCCTGGGTTCCCAGTTCTTCTGATGCCCTGGGTTCCCAGTTCTTCTGATGCCCTGGGTTCCCAGTTCTGTTCCCAGTTCTTCTGATGCCCTGGGTTTCCAGTTCTTCTGATGCCCTGGGTTCCCAGTTCTTCTGATGCCCTGGGTTCCCAGTTCTTCTGATGCCCTGGGTTTCCAGTTCTTCTGATGCCCTGGGTTTCCAGTTCTTCTGATGCCCTGGGTTCCCAGTTCTTCTGATGCCCTGGGTTCCCAGTTCCTCCTGGGTCTGTGTGACTTGTCAAATGCACTATGTAAATAGAATTGTAATATGATCAAAATAAAAGTTCCACATTACAATCAGGTCTCACACTCTAATAGCTATCCCCATTAGGAGCTGGGATGATGGGAATAATTAATTTGATCATAATATTTACCTTTTGTATAAATAAATGAATAGATTTTGATGAATATTTTATTATTTGAACTAGATTGTTGCAAGCCATGCATACGACCTACCTCGAGCCCAACAATACAAGACTGGTCAGAAAGAGGCGAAGTGAAACAGGTTGACTACTATCCCATCCACCAACCAATCACCTAGCAACCTGCTATCCCATCCACCACCCAATCACCTAGCAACCTGCTATCCCATCCACCACCCAATCACCTAGCAACCTGCTATCCCATCCACCACCCAATCACCTAGCAACCTGCTATCCCATCCACCACCCAATCACCTAGCAACCTGCTATCCCATCCACCAACCATAACCTAGCAACCTGCTATCCCATCCACCAACCATAACCTAGCAACCTGCTATCCCATCCACCACCCAACACCTAGCAACCTGCTATTCCCATCCACCACCCAATCACCTAGCAACCTGCTATCCCATCCACCAACCATAACCTAGCAACCTGCTATCCCATCCACCAACCATAACCTAGCAACCTGCTATCCCATCCACCAACCAATAACCTAGCAACCTGCTATCCCATCCACCACCCAATCACCTAGCAACCTGCTATCCCATCCACCAACCATAACCTAGCAACCTGCTATCCCATCCACCAACCATAACCTAGCAACCTGCTATCCCATCTACCACCCATAACCTAGCAAACACCACCCAACACCTAGCAACTACCACCCATCACCTAGCAACCATATATCCCATCTACCACCCATCACCTAGCAACCATATATCCCATCCACCACCATCACCTAGCAACCATATATCCCATCTACCACCCATCACCCATCACCTAACAACCATATATCCCATCCACCACCATCACCTACCAACCATATATCCCATCTACCACCCATCACCTAGCAACCATATATCCCATCCACCACCATCACCTAGCAACCATATATCCCATCCAACACCATCACCTAGCAACCTGCTATCCCATCCACCACCATCACCTAGCAACCTGCTATCCCATCTACCACCCATAACCTAGCAAACACCACCCATCCCAAGCAACTACCACCCATCACCTAGCAAACACCACCCATCCCAAGCAACAACCACCCATCCCCTAGCAAACACCACCCATCCCCTAGCAACTACCACCCATCACCTAGCAACCTGCTATCACATCCACCACCATCACCTAGCGGTGACCGTAGGCAGTCAAATTCCTTTTAGTCACGGTAATTAGGCTTCTCCAAGCTCTGATGCTGCTGATGGTCATTAGTAGCCTACCAAACTTGCTAACTGCCTGGTACTCAGCACTCTATTGTCCCTCTAATCACTCTGACATCAATGCAAATGTATTTGAACATCTAATTAAACACTTAATGAGAGCCCATGAGCTCATGTTGCGCAACATTTCTGTAGGCTATGCAATTGTGCAAGAAAACAGAGTGATGGCCTCTACTAAAAAGAGGAGGAAATGTTTATTTTTATTATTTGTATTTTATTTAACCAGGTAAGCCAGTTGAGAACATGTTCTCATTTACAACTGCGACCTGGCCAAGATAAAGCAAAGCAGTGCAATAAAAACAACAACAACACAGAGTTACATATGGGGTAAACAAAACATAAAGTCAAAAATACAACAGAAAATATATATACAGTGTGTGCGAATGTAGTAAGTTATGGAGGTAAGGCAATAAATAGACCATAGTGCAAAATAGTTACAATTTCGTATTAACACTGGAATGATAGATGTGCAAAAGGTGATGTGCAAATAGAGATACTGAGGTGCAAATTAGCAAAATAAATAACAATATAGGGATGAGGTAGTTGGGTGGGCTAATTTCAGAATGGCTGTGTACAGGTGCAGTGATCGGTAAGCTGCTCTGACAACTGACGTTTAAATTTAGTGAGGGAGATAAGAGTCTCCAGCTTCAGAGATTTTTGCAGTTCGTTCCAGTCATTGGCAGCAGAGAACTGGAAGGAATGGCGGCCAAAGGAGGTGTTGGCTTTGGGGATGACCAGTGAGATATACCTGCTGGAGCGCAGACTACGGGTGGGTGTTGCTATGGTGACCAGTGAGCTAAGGTAAGACAGGGATTTGCCTAGCAGTGATTTATAGATTACCTGGAGCCAGTGGGTTTGGCGACGAATATGTAGTGAGGGCCAGCCAACAAGAGTGTACAGGTCACAATGGTGGGTAGTATATGGGGCTTTGGTGACAAAACGGATGGCACTGTGATAGACTACATCCAATTTTCTGAGTAGAGTGTTGGAGGCTATTTTGTAAATGACATCGCCGAAGTCAAGGATCGGTAGGATAGTCAGTTTTAGAAGGGCATGTTTGGCAGCATGAGGGAAGGAGGCTTTGTTGCGAAATAGGAAGCCGATTCTAGATCTAACTTTTGATTGGAGATGCTTAATGTGAGTCTGGAAGGAGAGTTTACAGTCTAACCAGACACCTAAGTATTTGTAGTTGTCCACATACTCTAGGTCAGACCCGCCGAGAGTAGTGATTCTAGTCGGGTGGGTGGGTGCAAGCAGCGTTCGGTTGAAGAGCATGCATTTAGTTTTACTAGTGTTTAAGAGCAGTTGGAGGCTACGGAAGGAGTGTTGTATGGCGTTGAAGCTCGTTTGGAGGTTTGTTAACACAGTGTCCAATGAAGGGCCAGATGTATAAAAAATGGTGTCGTCTGCATAGAGGTGGATCCGAGCTTCACCAGCAGCAAGAGCAACATCATTGATATACACAGAGAATAGAGTCGGCCAGAGAATTGAACCCTGTGGCACCCCCATAGAGACGGCCAGAGGTCCAGACAACAGGCCCTCCGATTTGACACATTGAACTCTATCTGAGAAGTAGTTGGTGAACCAGGCGAGGCAGTCATTAGAGAAACCAAGGCTATTTAGTCTGCCAATAAGAATGCGGTGGTTGACAGAGTCGAAAGCCTTGGCCAGGTCGATGAAGACGGCTGCGCAGTACTGTCTTTTATTGATTGCGGTTATAATATAGTTTAGGACCTTGAGCGTTGCTGAGGTGCACCCATGACCAGCTCGGAAACCGGATTGCATAACGGAGAAGATACGGTGGGATTCGAAATGGTCGGTGATCTGTTTGTTAACTTGGCTTTCAAATAATTTCGAAAGGCAGGGAAGGATGGATATAGGTCTGTAACAGTTTGGATCTAGAGTGTCACCCCCTTTGAAGAGGGGGATGACCGCGGCAGCTTTCCAATCTCTGGGGATCTCAGACGTTATGAAAGAGAGGTTGAACAGGCTAGAAATAGTGGTTGTGACAATTTGGGCAAGTTGCAGCGGAGGTTGCAGAGCTGGTGACCGGGATAGTGGTAGCCAGGTGGAAAGCATGGCCAGCCGTAGACAATAATTCTCGATTATTGTAGATTTATCGGTGGTGACAGTGTTTCCTAGCCTCAGTGCAGTGAGCAGTTGGGAGGAGGTGCTCTTATTTTCCATGGACTTTACAGTGTCCCAAAACTTTTTGGAGTTAGTGCTACAGGATACAAATTTCTGTTTGAAAAAGCTAGCCTTTGCTTTCCTTACTGATTGTTTATATTGGTTCCTGACTTCCCTGAAAAGTTGCATATCGTGGGGGCTGTTCGATGCTAATGCAGTACGCCACAGGATGTTTTTGTGCTGGTCAAGGGCAGTCAAGTCTGAGGAGAACCAGGGGCTATATCTGTTCTTAGTTCTGAATTTTTTGAATGGGGCATGCTTATTTAAGATTGAGAGGAAAGCACTTTTAAAGAACAACCAGGCATCCTCTACTGACGGAATGAGGTCAATATCCATCCAGGATACCCGGGCCAGGAAAATTATAAAGGCCTGCTCGCTAAAGTGTTTTACGGAGCGTTTGACAGTGATAAGGGGTGGTCGTTTGATCGCGGACCCATTACGGATGCAGGCAATAAGGCAGTGATCGCTGAGATCCTGGTTGAAGACCGCAGAGGTGTATTTAGAGGCTAAATTAGTCAGGATGATATCTATGAGGGTGCCCATGTTTACAGATTTAGGGTTGTACCTGGTAGGTTCGTTGATAATTTGTGTGAGATTGAGGGCATCTAGTTTAGATTGTAGGTTGGCCGGGGTGTTAAGCATATCCCAGTTTAGGTCACCAATCAGTACGAACTCTGAGGATAGATGGGGGGCAATCAGTTCACATATGGTGTCCAGGGCACAGCTGGGGGTTGAGGGGAGTCTGTTGCAAGCGGCAACAGTGAGAAACGTATTTCTGGAAAGGTGG